CGTAATAAAATATCATGTAATTCACCAGAAGTTATACAAATAAATAGTGGTAATAAGTAGTATATCCCACACTAAATAATTAGATAAGAAAACACCCGACTAGTTGAAGATACAATCACTTGCGGCTGCATCTTATGTGTAGGCTCAAATTTCACAACGGGTAAGGCTAGCACGTATATGTCCAGGTGCCGCGTGACCTGTGCCCTGCGCCGTTCGTCATCTGCCAGGTGCTTACACAGCAGTCAATGAATGAACATCAGAAAATGGTAAAACACAGCTCACCAGCTCGCACAATGCTCTCGCACGTAATAAAGTTCGATCATGCGGGACACTTAACTACCCCGCCCCGGCGGCGTCCTTCTATCTCCGTTTTAAGTCGAGCAGTCTTGACGTTAGTTTTAGATGCGTCGTTTCATTAAGGCTTGTGACTTTGAGTTCTGGTATCACCGCTTAACATGAAGTCACGTCATGCAGAGGTATATCCTAACGGACGAAGATAAGACCCTCTCCAGAAAAACGCGGGCCAAAATCCTTAATTATGCGGGCTAAAATCATTGATTATGCGGGCTAAAATCCTTGATTATGCGATAAAAATGCGGGGTTTTTATGTGATTTTATGTGGGAAAATTGCGGGAAGTTGCGTAATATGCGGAAAGTTGCGAAATATGCGGAAAGTTGCGAAATATGCGAACAGTTGTGAAATATGCGGGAAGCGGAAAAAAGGTGATTATTCTCCCGCACCCTGTTACTAGGCTACTACCGAATGAAAGGGAGCACTTTTAAAGAGTTGCTATGATAAACAAGCATACTAGAAGCAAGCTACATCACAGAAACACACACACACACACACACACACCTACCTCCTCTTCATTCTGTTTTCATTTACTCGTTCGTTATCTGACCAGCTTCAATATTGTAGGCTACTCACCTCGTTTCTTGCAACCCTCGAAAGGGTTTTGGAGGTTGAAGCCTCTGTGAGCGTGAGTTGCTTGGCTTTCTTGTCCGCAGCAGAAACCATTTTTGAATGTTTGAGCGAATCGAAGTGGGTATTCACAGTCGATTTCCTTTTATGCTCCAACACACAGTTGCACGGGGTACAGAACAGTTTCCCCCCACTTTCGTACAAGACATTGGGGTACTGCTTTGCCCGGTCTTTAGCTGAAATGTTCGTGGGTAAATGTGATGGATTCGATTTGTTCATCTTGGTGTGTGAATTCCACACCTTCACACGACGGTGTTTGCCTTCTGTGATGCGCGGGCTGATGACGTTGCGTCATCATCACTACTCGTCAAGACGAGTTAACTTTTTTATTTTTTTTCTCAACTTTGTGTGGAAAAATGCGGGGATTATGCGGCCTTTTGATAAATATGCGGACTTTTAAAAATCTGCGGCATTTTGCTGATTATGCGGGAAATTCTGCGATCGCAGAATCGCGTTTTTCTGGAGGGTCTAATAATCTTTCACCAAAACTTGAATGCCTGCACTACATTTGAATAATTGTTGTGGTACACATGTACAACCCATTTTAAAATTATATTTTTATCTCATCATTTCTGTAAAACCTGGTGCTTTGTTACAGTTTATGATCACAGGAGGAAACCTTGAAGACAGCAAGGAGGCCCTGAAACTAGCGGAGACCAGAGGTGATGATAACAATGATGAATGAGCAAAATCGGACTCTTCTTCTATATCTCTTTGTATTTAGCATTTTTCTTTTTCCATTGTTATTACAGATGAGTTCTGCTGCACGGTGGGCTGCCATCCCACCCGCTGCTCTGAGTTTGAGCAGAACGGAGAGTCGGAATACTTCTCAGGGCTGAGGGAGCTGGCCTCACACAGAGGGAAGGTGGTGGCCATCGGAGAGTGTGGACTAGGTGTGAGCTGCTGACAGTGTTTGTAATATAACACAATAAGATGCAACACAGTAATGAAATGATTCACATTTCTATCCTCAATAAATTAGTTACTTATGGCTCCTTGCTTTTCTATACTACTATGAGTGTCAACATGTTATTGGAATACATATTTTATATTTAATAATTCATTATTAAAGGTATAATATGTAAAATGAATGCATCAATATATCTAAACGAGACATATCTTATCCAATATCCACAACCCAGATACATTTGTTAGTTAGTCCATTTTATCTGGTGGTGACGTGGCTGTCTGCCAGAAGCTGTAATGAATGTACTTTTGATCCAGTTATAAGCCACACTTTTACATTTGAACGTGAGCAAAAACTATGTGAGCAACTCGGCTAGCAGCCTCTTCAATAAGTCTGTGTTCTGCCAAACTGCATCCGATAAACACATCTTTTTTTACGTGAAACTAATTTATTCAGTGTTTTTACCAGTTTTCTTGACTCTGAGAATAACTCCTGGTAAACACTTCCTGAATGATGAATAGTGAAGGATTTCTAAAAGGAGGAGGCTGACGAAAGGACAAACTATGACGATCCCATGTTACTTCCCAATGCCACCACATTCTGTCTTTCCATTGTTTTGATTAAGAAACCACTTTTGGCAAAACTTGACATATTATGCTTTAGTGTCCCAAGTGTGGGAGTAAGATGTGTGGGTCGTATCAAAAGGTATTTCTTTTGTTTAGTTATATGTTGATACCCGATTGTCTTTTTTTCCTTTTTCCAGATTTTGACAGGTTGGAGTTTTGCCCAAAAGAGACTCAACTAAAGTAAGGTTATTTGTTTTATTTGCATATTAACTTTCACTCTTTGCATGTGCCGTTTTGGCATTTAAAGTATACTTTCTGGCAGTTGTGATGCCTCATCAATAGTTTTGGGTTTTGTCACTGAGAAGTTTCATCAGAAACTTGGAAATTAAGATTTCTCCTTCTAACAATTTTAAATTAAACTAACATTTTCAAATGAATTCCAACGATTTTGGAGGTTTCAAATATATCCAGTGCTTCCTACAATTGCAGATGTTCTGATGCCTTCCAAGCATGGACAGAAAGGCTTGTTAAACTTAGAAATGCACTTAATGGTTATTTTCCTCAACATCTTGTCTATTCATTATTTGTTTCTTAATTGTTTGTCAAAAAAAGTATAAGGAACATGTCCACTGCAAATTCCCAGACCACAGAGACATCTTAACATGTGTTGTTTTGTCCGAGCAGCAGAGAAAAACACATATAAAGGTGAAGCAATTAGATATACAACTCAAAAGCAGCAAATCCTCACATCAAGGAAGCTGGGAACTCCACAAGTTGGCCTTTTAGTTTGATACATTATGAATCACTCATCAACATTTGTCTATTCATCTTTTGTTGATAAACTCCTTGATATTTCAACTGTTTTAGCGCTAATTGGAAATAAATAAAGCATTGTTACTGTCCATTCTCCACATGATAACAATAAGTACAGCCCTGAAAGAAAGCCCTCTCTTCTTGATGTGTAACAGATACTTTGAGAAGCAGTTTGAGCTGGCAGAGGAGAGCAGGCTTCCCATGTTCCTGCACTGCAGAAACTCCCACCAGGAGTTCATCGGTGGGTTTCTGCTCCAGGAGGTCTGCTGCATGAGAGGGACTCTTTACACAATCACCTTACCGTCCATTTGTCTTTGCTTTGACAGAAATCATGAAGAAGAATCGGGACAGATGTGTTGGAGGAGTGGTGAGGACACTGTTCTTTATTTTTATCAAGCTATCTTTTTGGGTAACGATACTATCGTACTTTTCGGACTATAAGCCGCGCCTTTTTCCCTATTTTTCGACGCTGCGGTTTATATAACGGTGCGGCTAATCTATGGATTTTTACAGCTAACGGCCAACACCTTTAACTCTATGGGCTCTATGGCCGGTCCGCGGACCCCCACCTTTAAGCGGTGGGTTCCAGCAGGAAAAGCTGGAGGCCGGAAAAGAGTGAGACAGGTAGCGCGCAAAAGCAAAAGTGGAACCGAGAGTGGTATGCCGCTGCTGCGGCTTATATTCAGGTGCGCCTTATAGTCCGAAAATTACGGTAATTATCTTTATCATAAACCAGTTGCTTTAAAATGTTAAAACAAATGCAATAATCATGATAAATACAAATGCAATCATCAAAATGAAATGAATAAGTTGTCAATTGGAATATGAGTGTCCAGCTACCTACTCTCTCCTCTCAGGTCCACTCATTTGACGGGACAGCAGAGGACGCTGCTGCCCTCATCGACCTGGACCTCTACATTGGAATAAATGGATGGTGAGAGGAGTTTGTTTTCCGCTGAATCAGACAACCTTAACCTCATCTGGGCTCAGCTACACAGGTCTAATACACCCAATATCTGATGAGTGCCAAAGCAGACTATTGCCTTAAAGCTGGGAAATCTGCAGCTGCTTACTGTTATGGAGGAGAAATATGTAATTCAATCTCTAGTGAAGGGAGATGTTTTAATGTGGAAGCACAACTCCTACAATATGCATTTTTGAGAGTTCTTTGTTAAACCTTTGTCAATGTAACATTTTAACTCTCATCAATAACATGGACAATACAGAGTCCTGATATTGAATATGAAATACTGAAGATAAAAACACTTTTCAGCTTTGTGGATTACACAGCAAAACCTCTGTTTTAAACAAATCAAACACCATTTTATTATTTGAAGATACATATTAACAATAGTGCAACTTGAAATCTGTTTATTGTTTATTTTATTTTTAGTTCCTTGAAAACAGAGGCCAATATTGAAGCCATGAAGTCTATCCCCACTGAGAGACTCATGATAGAAACAGGTGAGATAAAGCGGGTTTATTGTGTCAAAGAAGGTCTTTGAATCATATTCTTGAATCTTCAAATAAAGCTAAATACAGTAGCATAAAGCCACATGTTACTGTTCAATTCTCAAGTGAAATAGAACCAGTATTATTGTTGTTTTGCAACATCACATCATTTATATCAGTTTTAAACATCCACCATGCTGTGTTTTTACTGCAGCATTATAGAAAATAAACTAACATTCTAGATATGTAGTGTATCATATTGCTGTTGTAAGGTTGGTAATCAAACTATTCCATTCATTTATGCTTTGACACCGTCCTACTCCCAGATGCTCCATGGTGCGGCGTAAAGAACACTCATGCAGGCTCCAAACACGTAAAAACTACATTTCCCACAAAGAAGAAATGGGAGGCAGGACACTGTCTGAAGGACAGGAATGAGCCCTGTCACATCATGTGAGTAATGTTGTAATGAAGAAAGAGGGACAATTCCAATAAAAAGAAATTGACCAGTTCGCAAGCGAGCAGAGATCAATGCTTTTAAATCACTTTAGCAATAACTGTAAATTGAGGAGGTTTCACTATTTGTATTTGTCAGACAAGTGCTGGAGGTGATGGCAGCAGCGAGGGAGGAGGACCCTCTGGAGCTGTCCAACACCATCTACAACAACACCATCAGAGTGTTCTTCAGCTCCAGCTGAGGATGGACACAATCAGGAGACGTGTGTGTGTGTGTGTGTGTGTGTGTGTGTGTGTGTGTGTGTGTAAGAATGGTTGATAAACTCTCCCTTTGCCAATTTTGAATTTTCAAATAGTTTCTTGTCTTAGTCTAAAATAAAAAACGGGTTTTCCCTGAATGTGTTTACAATTGGTTATTTTTGTGTGTTTCATGTACCTCTTTTAGTTATTTGTTTCCATTGTTGGCCATAAAGCACAACAAGCACGAGTATAAGGTCAGCCTCAATGTTCCTGTAATTAGAAGAACTATGCACAAAATGGGAATTATAAAGGGTTTTATAATTAAATAAATACAACTAAAATAACAGCATTGCAACAGATTAAATTGAACATGTTTTTAAAACAACAAATGCAACATCCCTTTGTGTAGGACAAAGTCTTTTTTTGTTTTTAATATGTTATATTACAGATTTTCAAAAATGTAAACGATTGTTTTTAAAGTTACGTCAGCTGCCACACCCACTGACGCAGGAAGTTACGTCACGTTACGTCGGAACCAACAGCCTGGCAACTTCTGCGGTGTTCCCAAAGCAACCAAATTGTCATTCAAGAATGATTCTAATATTTTAAACGATAACTGACGAGACGGGATTGTGGCAGGAGTCTGAAGTGTAACTGTTGGAGCCATAACTCTCCTGATGGGAGCAGCCACACATTAAACAGAAGAAGAAGCAGCTGCAACAGGAGGTTTAGCTGGGAGGACATGGCGGACGTCAGCAGGTTACAAGCTATCGCCTAAACGCCTAAACAACAGGGAAAGCGAAACCGAAGACTAGAGGCGGCTGCAGGAGGACCTTAATTTAGTTTAATGTTACATGGATAGCCGGAGCTCCTCAGGACTGTTCGCCCTCCACTGAACCTGCATGGCGTCCACTCAAGTCCGGCTAGGCCAGCAGGCCTTAGCGGTACTTGATGTGGCTCTGCGAGTTCCCTGTATCTTTATTATCGACGCCATTTTTAACTCTTATTACGACCCAGGTTCGGGATGGGCCGGGGCGATGGGGAAGGTGTTGGTCAAAGTCATTGGTGAGTATTTGAAAGTCCAGAACAGGAGCCTCCATATAGTGTCAACAACAGCTAAGCTAACTGACAGCTAAGCTAACTTAGCCTGTCATCAGTGTGGAGCTATGTCAACTGTCACACCGACTAAAGCCGACTTAACCACCGGCTATAACATCAATAAAAGCCTGCCATTTCCCACATGGTGCTAAAATAGTTAACCTCAAATGTAATTCAGTCTAAGTTGATGCTCAATATTCGCTATAAGGTGAGCTAACCGCTAACTTCAGGTATGTGTAATCTCAGGTGTCGTGTCAAATTCTGTGTCGACGCCGGAATCCAGCGGTGGTCCTTCAAGTAGCCTAACTCTGAGGGACATTAGGAAGCCTAGCACCTGACTTTAAAAAAACACTTTTTTATCCCTGTAACCTTGACCTGAACTCTTATCTTATCAGAACCAGGGGCTGGACTCTGTGAAGTTGAGTTTCTTAACCTTGTTGGCAGGTGTCCCCCTACAGCCTGTCAGATAAACTACCCTTCCCCCCTTATCAACACCGCCTGTCATGTTGCAAATATAATCTAAACTCATTTAAAACTGGGTGTTTTTTACACTCACGATTACACCAAAGTGGATATTGCTGCAACTCATACGTTTGCCAATATGGTCAAATATATGATGTTCTACAACTACTTCTTGTAATGGCAGAAACTTGACAATAAAGTATCGATTAGTTTACTATGTACACCCAGTTGCCAATTAATAAGTTACCCTAGCTAAAACGAATCTGATCTTTTTAGGTTAGGTAGTTTTTGTGAACCAATAATCAATCGCTTTTAGTTGAATACTTCACTGATTATCTGTTTAATTAAGCTTTTACAATAGTTTACCAATTACCTTTAGCTGAGCGTACTATTTCAAGTAGGTTCATTAAATATTTCTGAGCTTCTTAACAATCTTTCATATACCCCTGTTAAGGGATCAGTGCTGTGTAGGACTTGGTGTAGGCATCTGGGATAATAGCAAAAATGATATTGCAAAAACCACTAGGGCTGCAACCAAAGATTATCTTTATTCCATTCCTGAATAATTGTTTAGTCCGTAAAATAGTCAAAAAGGCCCATGACAGTTTCCAAAAGCCCAAGTTGACCTGCTTAAATGTCTTGTTTTGTCTGACTAACAGTACCAAACTCAAATCTATTCAGTTATTTATCAGAGACTCATTAGCAGAGAACACTGTTCCCAGACAAACATCTACCACGTTATGTAACTGTCCATTTGTACAGTTAGAAGACCTTTGAACAGCGTAGGCTCCATGGAGTCCTTTTGGTGTTAACACTCAGGGTTTAGAAGGGCAAGGGGCTACATAAGGTTCAAGTCAACCAACAAGATCATGTTACCTCAGCCCACAATCTTTTGATGTTTGTTACATGCACACAAACAAAGACTAACTATCTAAACTAGACTTTGGGAAATAGCGATGAAATAAAAGAAAAGTATTATAAATTCCAATGAAGACATCCACAAAGTTCACTGCCCTGAGTCAATGTAGTCATTGAACTCTGAAAGCTGGTTCACGGTTAACTCTGTCTCTGTGCTCCTCAGACAGGTTCATGTTGGAAGGGAACTAAGGTCAAAGTGGAACACAAGCAGTGGGATATAAGGAGGACAGTGATAGCCAGTAAACTGACCTAAAGATGAGAGCAAAGAGTAAACCATTGTTGTTCTGTTGCTGCTACTCAGTTTTCAGATGACGTGAGTATAGTTTTGCTGTGTTCAGTTTAATATCTTAGTTTGTATCTGCTGAGACCCCAACTGTTTTGTTACAGCTCAAAACGGCTTTATGTAGAGGCCTTGAGGTACACAAGTAAATAGTAAAAGTGTATTCATTAGAAAACCAAAACAAGTTTAAACTCTGTAACTTGCGTCGTGAACAGAAAATAATTGTATCATTTGATATAACTTGTTACTGCATTGCCAAGATACAAATAGAAATGCCAAGGACCGTCTGACCGGTTCCTCCCGTCCCCTTCAAGAACTGTGCTGATGTATGTTAGAAAAAAAACATGTCATGACGGTCATGCATGACGAAGATAAGGGAAAAACAAACAGTACATAGTTGATGCTACACACTCTTATGTGTATTGTTGAAGGCATTCCTTTCACACTCAGCCTCATTCAATCCATTTATTTTTGTGTGCTTCCTTTTTTCATCTCAGGTCATTTTTCACAAGTGCACCTGGTATCCATGTTAAGGGTTTTGATAAATGTCTATGCCTCTTCAAAGGCCCTGTGTTCCCTCCACAGGGACTTCACCTCAATAGTAGTCCTTTGTTTACTTCCGTAACATAGTGACATCACATCGCTGCTATTGGCCAACACATTGAAACTGATAGGCTAAGTGGCGGGACATCTCTTAGTCGTTGACCAATCACAACAGAGCCGGCCAGCTAACCAATCGGAGCAGACTGGGCTCTGGTTTCAGACAGAGGGTGAAAAGAGGTGCTGTAAAGAGCTTTCTGAACATTAAAGCATGGAGACATGTCACAGTAGAGACACTACATACTGATATGAACCTGAAAATGAACAGAATAGGGCAGAAATATCTTATGACTATTTGTCTCAGTTTGCTTCACTTTGCCCTGCTGCTTGTTGTATCTTTGACCTGTCAGGATTATTGCTCTGAAAGCCGATTGTTCTCCTGCTAATCTCATTTGTGTTTCTGGCACTCATGCCATTCTCTCTATAAGAACCATGTTTACATCCTTCACCTGTTTTTGCAGACAGCTTTAGCACGTTTCATATCAAACATTACAAGCTACAGTCGGCAGAAGTCTTCAGTTCATTTTCCTATGTGTGACAGGAAGTAGTTCCATCACGTCCATTTTTACCTGATACTTCAGTTGCGAAATGTTTTGATATTTTACAGAGAATTATTATGTTTGAAGCATTATCTTAAAATAATATAGAATACCATGTATAGGCTGGGATATATCTGCAGCACCACAATACTTCATTGAGATATTTTCATAAATGTTGCCTTTACCAACATTTGTTGTGATTTGTATGAATTGTGCAGCCCTAACCCTCGCCTCTCTGCTGTGTCTCAGGTATCCTCATCTCCAGCATGGTGCTGCTGCTCTCTCAGAAAGCCTTGTTCAAGTTCTACACCCTCTTCTTTGCTGTGCTCCTCGGCATGGCAGCGGTGCTCATCAACTACTACGCCACCTCTCACATAGACTTCTACAGCGCCTACTACAAAGCGGCTCTGGGCTTCAGACTGGTGCCTAGAAACGGGCCGACGTTGTGGCTGGGCATGGCTGGCATCCAGCTTGTTTTTGGAGTGGGCTACGTGTTCCTTCTCAACCTCCAGTCGGTGTTCGCTGCTCTGGTGGTGCTGGACATCATGATCCCTCTGTGGGGGCTGATGATCGAGCTGCCCGTGGACGTGCGGCAGCTGGTGGCCGTGTTCTCGGGCCTGGCGCTGGCGCTCAACACGGCCGTGTGCCTGGCCATGAGGCTGAAATGGTTTTACTACTCGTGCCGGTACGTCTACCTGCTGGTGCGCCACATGTACCGGATCTACGGGCTGCAGCTGCTGCTGGAGGACACCTGGAAAAGGATCAGATTCCCAGACGTGCTGCGGGTGTTCTGGCTGACCCGGGTCACGGCCCAGGCGCTGATCCTGGTGTACGTGGTGCGGGCCGTGAGGAGGGAGAGCGGAGACGCTACAGGCAGTCTGACAGACGGAGGCTCCGACTCACAGGTGAGACCAGAACCATTCAGTCTGCTTTAAAACTCATATCTGCCGGTCTTAAAACACTCAATGAATTCCGCTAGAAAAGCTATTGTTGGACTTAGACCTCGGGTGTTTAATCGTGGGAAGCTAGAGTATGGTAGATTTTCAAATGCTCCAACTAAATACTCAGTATTAGTTACAAACCCTTTTTCTATGAGAGGAGCTAGCAGCACTACTGTAGCTCCAAAAGTGTCTAAGTCAAAAAGCTGACAGACAATTGTTTCAGGTTTACATTCAAAACCACTCCCCCTGAAGTTACCATCTTGAACGGAAACATATCATAATGAATGTAAACAAGAAACTTGTCTATTTTTTTATGTAAACAACAAACGTGGCTATTTGTAGTACTCACAGCTGTCCAGCTAGCAGTTTGTGATAAACTGTGCTCAGGTAGACGGGGGCGGCTGGCTGCGAGGGAGTGCGTCGTCTTTCAACCAGAAGGTTGTCGGTTTGATCCCAGCCTGTGCAGTCAACACGTCCATGTGTCCTTGGGCTTAATCAGTACTTCATCAGTTGCTCCCGACGGCTTGGCCAATGGTGTTTGAATGTGTATGAATGTTGGTTCCTAGAGCGAGGGGCACTGCTGTCTGAATGAGGTGTGAAGGGGTGAATGCTGATTTGTAGTATGTAAAGCGCTTTGAGGGCTCGTAAAGACTGGATAAAGCGTTATATAAGTGCAGTCCATTTACAGATGGCTACTATCATTTGATTTGGCCCCAAAATGATAATGAAAAAAAAAAAATAATAATAATTAGACAATTAAAAAAACATTTGATTCAACAAACAGGAATACAAACAAAACGTACTTTTAGTTTTGTCTGAGAATTGGTTTATTAATTGCTGGCGATATTTAGAGAAATATATACACATTTTCCTTTTTTTGAAAGACCAGCTCTAGATTTAATGCATTACTATAAGTCGAGTGGCCCCTACTGTTTTTAAATCATTCTTTGACGATTATGACCGTAAATAACTTACATTCATTTTTTATTTAAAAAGCCCATTAAACCCATTTTGTTAATTACTCGAACACTGCAGTGACCCTGTTCTTATTGCAGATATGCAAAATATGAAAGTAACAATGTCTGTACTCTGCACCAAAATGTGTAAATCCAAGCAAATGGCTTTCCCCTGGGACGATTACATCTGGTACTAAGATCAGGAGTGCTGCCTTCATGGAACCCCATATTATATCGTCGCCCACAAAAGCCTGCATAATCTGAATACAAAGAGTCACGGGAGTTCTAGGTGATGCTGAAATGCTTCCTTGTGTGACCTCTCTGTTGCCAGGGTTACCTGCTGAGCTGGGATGTGTTCTGGGATCTGACCAGTAACCTGATCATCTCCGGCTGTGACTCCACGCTCACCGTGCTGGGGATGAGCGCTGTCATCTCCTCTGTGGCACACTACCTCGGCCTCAGCATCCTGGCCTTCATAGGTACGGCTGAGTGTGTGTCGTTTACAAACGTTGACTATCTGATGTATCTGCTGCTCATAAGAAAGGTCCTGGAATGCAAATGTTGTCTCATGTTGACCCTCAGGCTCGACGGAGGAGGAGGACAAGCGTTTAGGCTTCGTAGCTCCTGTTCTGTTCTTCATCCTCGCCCTGCAGACCGGCCTCAGCAGCCTGGACCCTGACGAACGCCTGGTAGGGGAAATGAGTCAATCCTTTCAGTTGGTTTATTACGATTTGACCTTTACTGATATTGTGGTTCACGCTCGCTCAACATTGTATTTGTAGTCTTATTTAAATGTCCTATTGGCAAAACTAGGTGAACCTTTCTGAAGTAGGTATGTCACAAATATGACACTTCGGTACCAAGTCGATGCCAACATTTTGAAAGTGCAACATTATTGGCTTTGCTACAGCACAGGGAAGCATAAGACAAAAATAGAAGTAATCAAGCTACCCAAATGTTTCCATTTTCTCTGCCCGTTTGCGTATTTATATATAGTTGGATGTGCACGGACAGGCCCCTGAACGAAACTCCAGGAACAAGTCTTTCACATCACTTTTGCCTCGGAATCACAGATGCTTCAAACATAGATCTGGCTTTGCTGTAGAATCCTAAAAGACGCAGTGTCCTCACTATGGACACGTCCTGGGCACACCCCTTTTGCCCCCTGCTAGATAATAGCAGAGGGTTGGCATCGCACTCCTTGGTTAAATAACAGAGCAGGTTCTATTGACTTTGATTATGGTGTGTTCAAGCTCTATTGAGTCAAATGTGTATTGAGGGAGGGTATATATAAATGTTATCATGATACGTTTAAATACAGTGTTGTAAAATGTAGTTTTTGTTTCAGGAGCAGTATTAAAGTGAACTTCCATCTGATGATGTGGAAATCATCCTGTGTGTGAAAGTAGAGGAAATCATTTAACATTTTGTATCAATGACGAGACCCTCTGGCTCTGATTTGCAGGTGCGCCTGAGTCGGAACATGTGCCTTCTGCTGACCGCCATCCTGCACTTCATCCACGGCATGACGGACCCCGTCCTGATGTCCCTCAGCGCCTCCCACGTCTCCTCGTTCCGCCGCCATTTCCCCGTCCTGCTGGTGTCCTCTGCGCTCTTCGTGCTCCCGGTGGTGCTCAGCTACGCCCTGTGGCACCACTACGCCCTCAACACCTGGCTGTTCGCCGTCACCGCCTTCTGCGTGGAGCTCTGCCTCAAGGTGAGTGGGAGAATCTGCTGCTACTTTAGTTTAAAAAGTGACACACAGAACACCTACTATTAGTCTCATCAGTCTGTGAGGTTCAGTGTGTGAACTGTAAGGTCTCATAGCGTGTTCCCGTCAGTGTTTCCTTCGGTCTGTCTTCTCCTGGTGATCTCACTTTATTCCAGCGCTCTGTGGCTTTAAACCTCTTTATGTTTTTCTTTTCTTTAAAGGACAATATTAAGCTGTCTAACAATCTCAAATGTTATGTACCCTCAATATATAAAGATGAATATTCAAAAAGTAGTCCACAGTGTTTGCTGATGGAGTATCAGACAGAAAACAAACATGTTTGTCTGACCGCTGCTAAAGTTCAAATCAGCGGCTTCTTTCTGCGGATTGACACGACCGCACGACGTAGGCCCTCAGTCAGAGCGTCCTTATTAGCAGTCTGCTCTCCAAACCTCTGAATGTCCAAATGTATCAATCACAATCCACTATTCTAATAAGCCATGTAATCATCTGTGATAAAAGATTGAACTTCACCCACTTCCCCCCCCCCCGTCTTTTCCCTTTTGAAACTGAAAATACTCAAATCATTTCTAGCCCTTTTTAAAAATATAAATAACTTGAAGATAGTGATGGTTAATTTGTAGATTACAGATGAAGGCAGATAAGGTTATAAGGTTATAAGGTTATAAAGCCCTCCACCATCTGGCCCCCCCCTACCTCACTGACCTCCTCATCCTCTACCAACCACCCCAGTCCCTCAGATCCACCTCAGCCGGTTTGCTCTCAATCCCCAAGGCCAAACTCCGGAGCTTCGGGGACAGAGCCTTCTCTGTGGCAGCCCCGAAGCTCTGGAACTCCCTCCCCCAAGACCTCTGTGAGTCTGATTCCCTCACCCTGTTCCAGTCCCGTCTCAAAACCCACCTCTTCAACTCTGCTTATCCTTAAACCCGCCCCTCCCCCCTCTGAACCAACATCCTCCTGACTGCTTTTCTGTTTTTGTTTTGTTTTTGTTTTTGTTTGTGTTTTTGTTCTTATTTTGTTTGTCGACCTGACTCATTATGTAAAGCGTCTTCGGGTCTAGAAAAGCGCTATATAAATCCCATTTATTATTATTATAAGAGCAGAAAACTTTGTTTCTGTTTGTGTAGTTATCTGAAAGAGGAATTACTAAATGTAAAATATGAAAATGTTTCTATTTTCCCTGCAGGTGGTGGTGTCCCTGACCGTCTACAGCCTCTTCATGGTGGACGGCTTCTCCAACGTCCTGTGGGAGAAGCTGGACGACTACGTGTACTACGTTCGCTCCTCGGGCAACATCATCGAGTTCCTGTTTGGCGTCATCATGTTTGGCAACGGCGCCTACACCATGATGTTCGAGTCGGGCAGCAAGATCCGCGCCTGCATGATGTGCCTACACGCCTACTTCAACATCTACCTGCAGGCCAAGAACGGCTGGAAGACCTTCATCAACCGCCGCACGGCCGTCAAGAAGATCAACTCGCTGCCGGAGATGCGCGGCGACCAGCTGAGGGACATCGAGGACGTGTGCGCCATCTGCTACCAGGAGTTCGCCACCTCGGCACGCATCACTCCCTGCCACCACTACTTCCACGCGCTGTGCCTGAGGAAGTGGCTCTACATCCAGGACACGTGCCCCATGTGCCACCAGAGGGTGTACGTGGAGGACGAGAGCCGGGACAGAGCGGCGTTCTCCAACAACAACGGGGGCTACGCAGCGCCGCAGGACGTCGCTGCTGAGGCAGAGGGGGGGGGGCCAGCACGGACAAGAGGACGCAGAGCTGCCGGGGGAGGGAGGGGCAGCGGGGGGGCAGGCTGCGGGGGAGCCGGACAACGAGCTGCTGGAGGACAACGACAGCATAGAGTACGACGAGGACGAGTGGGGGACGCAAAACGGCAACGCACACATAGAAGAAGACTATATCAACGACGACACAGACTCCACCGAGGACTGACAGCAAGAGATCTATAGAGAGAAATATACATATATCTTTATTATATTTAAGTTAAAAAATAATTATAAAACACTATCTTAATTTGTTCCCCAAAAATGTCAGGGATATCATTCTCCGTTTCCTCGTTAGTCTCTTTTTGATTTGGGTTTGACTCGATAAGGGCTCATGGAAAGTGTGTGTGTGTGTGTGTGTGTGTGTGTGTGTGTGTGTGTGTGTGTGTGTGTGTGTGTGTGTGTGTGTGTGTGTGTGTGTGTGTGTGTGTGTGTGTGTGTGTGTGTGTGTGTGTGTGTGTGTGTGTGTGTGTGTGTGTGTGTGTGTGTGTGTGTGATGTCTTAAAGATGCAGTTCATGGTCCCTGAGAGTGCAGTGAAGGGGAAACACTGGAGTGTGTTAGCTTAACCACAACAACTGTGGAACTGCAAAACAGATTCAGGGTTTATTCATCTGTAAGTCATGTTTTAGGAGTTTGTAGAAAGAGGAATTTTGAGCGTTAAAGCAAAGTTTCTGTTTCAAACGTGCTGATATTATTTTCTCTAAGTTTTTTTTTTTTAATCGTGCCAAATAATATCTTTTAAAGAGTCCCTTTGATGCTTACTGGAGTTGTTCCCTTTCCTGTAATGTGTGTGTGTGTGTGTGCATTGAAATGGTCAGCAGAGGCTACAATCCCTGTGTTCCCTCCAGATGGAGTTTCCCTCCCACACACTCCGTAACAAAATGACATCACTAAGTAACGCTTGCACATCTATAGGCTGGCGCTCCAACATATTGTATGGGATAGGCTAAAGAGCGTAACATCTGTGATTGACCAATCACAAAAGATCTGGCAAATTAACCAAACAGAGCAGACAGGGCTGTGGTTTCAGACGGAGGGTGAAAAGTGCCTCGACAGCACAGTTGATCCCGAAATATTTGTCTTACTAACTAAACATGTGCTCTCAAAGCCTGACTTACAGATGGATCACATCTCAAGGGTGTTACACAGCTGTTCCACGTGTGTGTGTCTTTCCTAACTGAAACAGTGTGTTCGTGTCCAGAGAGAAAATGAAGGCAGGAGAGTGAAGCGGTTTTCTATCAACCCACAGACAAACTGAGAGGTGTTTGATTCAAAAGAAAAAAAGAAGAAGTGACTTGCTACTGTAATCACTGATATACCTCTATCATTACTTCCTACTGGTCTATTGTGCGACCTCACTTACAATTGTGTACGTTATTGTACATATAATAAAACATGTGCACACGTTCTCCCTTAGGAAAAGAGAAGACTTATTTTTCTTTCAATAATGCACATTTCCACATTTCTCTTCACACAAATCAGTATTTCATTTGGTTACGTTCTTGTTTCAAACCCAGACATAGTTTGGAAGAAGAATGCAAATGATTATGTATCTTTGCTTATTGTAATTGACACAAATACAGTATGAAAAGATGCCACTTGGTTTGTCTACCATGAAGTACTGGTTTCACGAGGAACAAAGTACCGTGGTTTGTTTTAGGTGTCCGTTTTCAGCCATGTTGTAACACCAGAAGTCATTTATGTTCCCATGTTATTCAGTAAATCACTGGTACAGATGGACAGGAGCTTTATCCTTCTGTCCAACAAGAAGCAATCCCTCACTTGTTTTCCAGCAGCAGATGTCCTACTGAACACTGAATACAAATCTTGAACTACTGGAATGAAAGAAAGAAAGAAGCAGAAAATATTTAAGAGCCATGTTTTCACCTTTTTGACAGTACAGCGACGTCAGAGGTCTTCATTGTGAATTTGTGTTAAATCACTTTCAAGCACATTTCCTCAGAGTATGACATTGTTTAGACTTCCACAGCCTGAACGTCTTTAAGAGTTTGACTATAAACTCGTGTTCATTACTGTTGTAATTACTGCTGGCAGAAGAGAAGCTGCAAGGAATCCGTGAACTTCTTGTTGACGATGCGAAAGAGATGCAAATTTGATTAGAAAGCTGTGCTTTTTGACCGGTTTCAGCAATGAAGGACTTTGATTATTAGTTTGATTGTTCTGAAAGCTTTTTCAAAAGGTAAAAGCTGTTTCTTTTTGCCTTTTGTTTTAAAAAGAGTTTTATGTAAATAAAATCATCTTTGATATTGCGTTTGGACTGTCTCTCAGATATCACTGACATCTCCCATAAAGGACTTTCTAGTACTCATGTGACACAAAAGATAATGTAATTATAATGCAATAATGCATTGCAATCATCCACTTTACACATGAGTCCAGCTTTCTGTGTGTAGATGCAGTTGACTGATTGAACCAGCAGATGGCGTCATTGCACAATGTTTTATTTATTAACCCTCCTGTTGTCTTCGGGTCAAATCTGACCGATGTACTACTTTCATCAATCATAACTTTTTTGTTTTACATTCGATTGCATTAAGGCTTTATGATATCCTTCACAGTAGACATTTGAACATAGCAAATTGCTGATCACCACTTTCATTGAATTTTGGATGATTTAGTCAACTTTGTAACACCCATGGTGTTCACGGTCAAATATGACCGCCATAAAGAAAAGGAATTAGTAACCATATAAACACACACAAACGCACACGCACACACTAGATGTGTTCCATCCCCCTTATGTGCCCAATCCTCCCATGTGAATCGCACCTGGCTTGCACACACAAACACACAGAACAATTTGACACATTTCCCGCTCTTATGTGCCCCCCCCCAAATGGATCACACCTGGCACACGCAATACATGTTCAGTGTCTATTCTTTGTATATTTACTGCAGTTTTTCATGTATACCAGTAGTCTGATACAATATTTACAGTTTGAAAGGGTGTTAAATGAAATTTGGTGATGATTAATGGTTTTTGTGTTAATGTAATAGCAGTTAAAACAAGACCGCGAACACCAAAGTAAGGGGGGACGACGACGACGACGGCAATAGGAGGGTTAAGCTCTTTAAAAATCAGACAATGTGATTTTCTGTATTTTTCTGTATTTTTTTCTCATTTTGTCTCTCATAGTTGAGGTATACCTAGGATGAAAATTACGGGCCTCTCATCTTTTTAAGTGGGAGAACTTGCACAGTTGGTGGCTGACTAAATACTTTTTTGCCCCACTGTACATCACAAATGTATATAAGTTAAGTGCTTTGTATGGTTTGGCTTATAAATCATTGTCCTGACCGCAAAGGGAAGTTACAGTCTTGTATTATGCCTTTTCTTTAAAGCAGACTCATGTTGCAACATTCTTTCCAGTGTATTTAACGCTGAAGGTTTGACCGGAAGCAACTCGTTTTATTTTGAAAGCTCCTTCCGGAAGTTGTTTTATTCTGCTGACTTGATGCTGCTTAGTTGTGCTTCTGCTTTAGCTTCAACTTCATCTGCCAAACTCCTGACCGCTGAGTCTAAAGACCATGAGACGGGTTGGTCGGCTGACAGCACGAAAAGAAGACATGCACGGCTGTTTGGAAGTTACCCTGAGTTTTAGTGAAACGGACTTCAAAAGTCACCGGTTTCTCTCTCTTTAGCAGCTAGCGTTACTAGGACCGAAGAAACAACTTCTGCCCGAGCGCAGCCCTGCTGGAGCGGGGAGACGACGACGAAGCTCGGCGCACAAAGAGGAGTACATTTAACAGACTTGTAGTAGTAGTCATTTATTTATTTCGCCATAATGCTAAAGCTTTGCCTACAGAAAGCCTTCCCTCTGGTGGCACAGAAGTTGCCGACAGGACTGAGGCAGGCAGTGCCGCCGAGGCTGCCGGGGACTGGGACGCACACACCGAGCTGCTGGATGGGAACACACGGGAGAAACGAGCCGAGGGAGCCGCTCAACTCCCCCAAGATAGCCAAAGATTTTATCTACCACCTCCATCCGACGGAGAGGACCTGTTTACTGAAGGAGCTCCAGAGTTTCGAGTCCATAGCCATTGTACAAGGTAAGAAATAAACAAGTTGACAGCTGCTATAAGTGGGAATGAATGAGAAGTCACAGGTACGAGGCACGCGCCCATATTTCCCCGCCCCCATATTAACCGATATCGATGTACACTACTTTCTGAACATCGTGTGCACGTGCATTCGGGTTAAGTCTTCTCTCACTCAGCAGGTGTTTCAATGATGGGTCCCTCCTCTCTTCTTGAGGAGTGCTAATTAATGGCTGGAGATTTTGAATGAAAATTGGCAGGCCCATAAAGGCGTATAGTAGGCCACACCTGTACCAAGTAAAGGAGGAGTAATAAGTAAAGGAGGAGTAATGAGTAAAACATGTGGCTCTTTGGTAACATCAGGTGGCTGCTGTGGTAACTGCATCAACAATGGAAAAGGGGTGTGGTCCTCTACAACTAGCACATTCTGTCGGGAGTTGACTCATAAACTCTAAGATGGTAACCTATTAGGAAGTTCATTTCACATTCAGCACTTGATGATTATATGACCTAACTAATACTGACACCTGTAAATGTAACAGACTCAGTTGAGTCTAAAGCTAAGTTGGCCTCCGGTGCACACTATCCAGGTTAGCTATTACACTTGTGTGTAGAATGTGTGCATATTTCCTCTTACGAGTCATCGGCAGAGGGTCATTTATGTTGATGTTCCTAACTCTTGACTCATTTTAGGACTAAAATACTAAAGTCAGCAGATGCATCATGGGTACAAAGCTCTGAGTATTTCCTCTCAGTGGGTGTTTCTCAATCGCGAGGATACCGGCTTGGTATCGCGTACTTCCAAGTCACTTCCTTCAGAGACGAAGCAAGTATGCTTCCAAGCCACGGCTTCGGAAAACGAAGAAGAATGGAACAGGCTAACAAGTGTGCTACTCTCTCTAACGGTTTCAACATAAACTGTACCGAAAATAAATACCTCACGATGTCTATCTAATTAGTGCGAATGCTGTTTACAGCATTCCACTATAGTACTTCAAATCTTTATTCTTCCCCTTATTTCAGCCAATACTTTGGCTCTCNGACAAATATTAAATCGATTGTCATATAATCTAGACCCTCCAGAAAAACGCGGGCCAAAATCCTTAATTATGCGGGCTAAAATCATTGATTATGCGGGCTAAAATTAGCCCGCATAATCAATGATTTTAGCCCGCATAATTAAGGATTTTGGCCCGCGTTTTTCTGGAGGGTCTAGATTATATGACAATCGATTTAATATTTGTCAAAATATTTTAGTTTTGACTAAAGAGGTGGACAGAGAAGACGACCAGCATTCTAATCCCTGAAGAAAGGCTGCTTGTGCTGCAACAACTGTAATAGTTATGTTAAAGTGTTGATGACATGGCTTACCTTTTTGACTCCGGTTGTGACCGCTCTGTCAATGATCTGATTGAAGTCATCTGTCAAAAAAATCACAACATGTCTCAGATGTTCTGCTCTCAACAGCACACAGGTGAAAAGTGAATGAGTTGCTCACCGTCATGTTTCTGCTTCCCTCTGTAGAGTCCTCTGAACATGGGATCTGTCAGGTTCACACCAATATCTGGAGAGGGAAGGTTCTTAATGTCAATCGTGTTGTTATCATTTCTTCATTGTCATTGGTAGTGTACTTAGTGAAATACAACAATGAGAGATACGGTTAAGCGGTTGAATCTAACAGGTAAAATCTAAATGTTCCACATCAACCTTCATGACACTACCTGGATTCAATATTTAAGATTCAAATACCTTATTGTCATAGGCACATTAGCTACAGAATAGTTGTGGGCAATGCAAATCTTCAGTCCCAGCCTTCAACATTGAAACATACAATACACTTGAGAATTAAAGGGGAAAGTATGTAAAAGAGTGAAATAAAAAGGTGTAAATGACATAATGGTGCATTCTTTACTTTAATCCCAACGTAATAATAACAACTGATAAAGGTAAAAGCATCAGTAATGCAGTATAAACTGTCACCAGGAGTTAAAAAAATCCATCTGAAGTTTCCACACACAGCTGCACACTTTTAGAGTGCTGTGTTGTCATTTTCAGCAGGGCTAACTCAAACTAGCATCATGCTAACTATCACATGCAGGCTTGTCTTCTTACACCATTCACTTACACACACTGACACTCAGTTATTGACCTTCTCACTGTTGTATTAATATTTTCATTAAACACAAGTGTCTCACCAATGAATTTGTGCTGAGCCATGGTTGTAAGAGCTCTCCTCCTGAAGAGAAGCACACATGCAGCTCTCAGCAGCAATCCCATGCTACATACCGTAATAACTGTAACAGGGGTTGCATTTCTGAAATAGTAAGATTTATGTAAACATCTTGATACCAGTGATACAATCTAATTTAATTGATTTGCTTAAGTACTGTGTAGTAAAAATTATTCCAGTTTTTTTCATTTTATGCTACATTATCTTTGTATTTCTACAACAGGAAATGTTGCAGTTTTGCACTCCACTACATTAGGTGCCAATATTAGTTAATTTACGGAAAAGGGTTAGGCTTATAAAATCAAATAAACATGATTTTGAGAGAAGGACTTTAACTCGAAGCGGAGTATTTCCACACTGTGGTATTACTTGTATTTATTCCAGAGCAAGAAGGTGTCAAGATAAGAAGAACTGTTGCGCATTTCCCACGAGTTTACGGTCATACAGTCCACAGAAGAAATCCCACAATCCCCCGCGCCGCTTGCTGGGAAGGTGACAGGGGACGGTAAACATGGCCTCTGCCTTTCTTACTCACCACCAAAAGGTGTTGCGGCTTTACAAGAAATCACTAAGACACCTTGAGTCGTGGAGCGACAACAGGTAAGAGGAGCTGCCTTCGTTGAAGCTCTGTGGGGAAAAATGCAACAAACAGGCAGGGCGCGGGGAGTCTGTTTGCTGTGCTGCTAAGCTAACAGCTAAGCTAACTGCTAGTCAGGTCACTCATTCCTCCTCTGGCCGTCCTCCTGCAAAATATATTCACCCTTCACCAACTAACCCACTCTGCATCAAAACAAGAATATATCCCTGAAATGTGACTGTTTATTAAAACCATGAAATAGATCAAGGAGCAGTTATTAATCTGTACTTTGAAAAGGGTCGAGCTAGCAAAGGAAACCTAATGGCTTGACTCTCAGTCAAACAAATAGCTGTAACTACAAATCATAATACACAGGCCTAATATCAATACAAATATTATAGGTTAGGAATTGTATTTCAGTTCTAAATACATGACTCTTCTGTGTCTTATCATTTTAAAGTAATTAATTAAGCAACCTTATTATAGTAGTAGCACATCTTTTGATAATTACAAATGTTCTCTTGTTGATAAATGTTATGTTATTTTATCATACTGCACTATATAAAGTATTAAGGCTTCTCTTTCTTAAACATATAGTAGTTCCTACATTTGCTCTATATGTAGTCAATTTACAACCTTAAATATCTGTAAGAAGTTACACAATATTTAACCCTTAAAACTGACCTTTTTGTCCGAAAAACTAAATGAGACCCTAAACATACCGAACCTTTGAGGATAGTAACTATAATTTAAAGCTTAAAGATATGATTAATATTTAAGTTTTTTGATAAGTATTTCTTGTTATCTATGTGCTCAAATGCAAACACATGTTGGGTATTGTTCTGCAATATTGTTGTTGGATTAAAATACTGTTATTGTGGTCGTTAAAATTCCCTTTCCAACTGTACATTGCAGAGGAATCTAAACTAATTTGATATTCTATATGTTCACATATTGATGTTACAGTGCAAGATAATGCTGGAACCAGTGTAGAGCTTCTCTTGAGAGGAAAAAATAAACATGCATTGTGTTTTTATTTGTGTAAGGGAGAGATGCCTTTTACTGCGATATTCAAATGGAATTGTTGTGTTGATTTTTTTGTGTTTTAGACACGATTACCGGTTCCATGCCTGCATTCTACGGGGTCGCTTCGATGACAACATAGCAGAGAAGGACCTGGTGAAGGCCACCATGCTGCTGAAGACAGGAGAGGAGGAGTTCTGGACAAAACAGCACCCCTCCCCCTACATTTTCCCCGACTCCCCCGGAGGGACGTCCTACGAGAGATACGAGTGCTACAAGGTGAGGCCTGCGACCAGGACATCTTGTTCAATCATTTCTCTTACATTACTAAGAAAATGTGTGTATGGCTCTAGAGTTATTGCCTACGTTGGGACAGGTTTATTTATAATAATTTGAGAATGTAAAACAAAAAACAAAAAAAATGTAAGATGTGGGGAAAGTGTCTGTCCAATGTTACCGCCCTCTGCTGGAGATGTAAGGGGAGTGCAACTGGATTGTATCTACATCTACCTTAAACAGATCTGCAATTCTTATCAATTCAGATTTTGAAAAGACTTCGCCTATCAAGAGTGAACTTTATCTTTTGAATCCTCAAAATAATTGTTGGCTAGTATGGAAGAATTGTATCAAATATTGGAAATTGAAAGTATAGCGGGGAAAAAACAGACAAACCTGATGTGACATGATCAAAGTGTTGATCTCTGCTTTGTCCCTGTAGCTCCCTGAGTGGGTTCTGGAACACTGGCACCCCTCAGAGAAGGCTGCGTACCCAGACTACTTCTCTAAGAGAGAGCAGTGGAAGAAACTGAGGCTGGAGAGCTGGGACAAAGAGGTGGGCTGCTCACACACAGTTAACCCTCCCCCAGGCACATTTCAGCTCACCTTCAGACAAGAAGTGAAATCAATATTTCAGTAGTTCCCACTTATTTTTCCAAAATGTGATCCCTAAAATGACCATTTGTTCATTTGATATCAAAACATTAGTTTACAAACTCTCACACAGCTCGTGTAGCATCATCCAAGTCTCTTTTATCCAGTCGATTTGTCAATACTTTAAAAACTTTGTTTCTATAGTTACCTTCCCCATTTTCCTGGGCCTCTTATAACGGCTGTTATCTGATTGGTTATGCGTCGAAAGGTCACCAACAATTGAGGTCAACGTTGAAATAATTTAAACGTTTTCACCAGTTTATAAACTTTTCTTTGCTCCTGTCTGTTCTAGATCACCCAGTTGCAGCTCGAGGCTGAAGACGGCGGCCCCAAGACTGAAGCCCTCCCCCCCGCCCGCATAGATGGAGACCTCCCCCCTCTGTGGTGGCAGATCGTCACCCGCCCCAGGGCACAAGGCGCATAAACCCCCTCCACCTCCTCCTCCTGGGTGGAAAGCCATCATCGCCATCTGAACTGAAAGATTTGTAGTCTTCACCTTCAGGTTGCCGAGGAAACAACCTGTCTGAATTTACTCTGATCCTTCAGTAGTCAGTTAAAGGAGGTTTGTGAATGTTGGTCTTGTAGATGCATCAATTAAAACCTGTAACTGTTCCAATAAATATATATATATAATGTAAATTGTATTTGTTTGTTGTGCACAAAAAGACATATTTACACACATCTCACAAGAAAGTACTCTCTGTATACATCTACAATGAGTTAAATGTCGAGCATGAGAAAATGAATCTACTTAAATTTGGTCAGAATATCCTTTGCATCTCCAAATATCCACACGTTAATAGATTTTCTCATCTTATTCTGCATGGACACAGCTTTTTGGGTATTCTCCAGAAAACGAGTGATATACTGGTGCTTTCACTTTTCGTCTATATACAGTATGAACTTGTGGGAAGAACTATGCTAGGCTTCCTCTGTGGTCATCAACTTTTCAGAAAATAGAGTTTCCAGCCTCTTCAATATATGGATTGTGGAGACATTACCTTGGACTTCAACAGTTTCGACATATTCAAACGTTTTGCCAGGTGTGCTGTGATTGGCTGTGGGGAATATGAGTGACGCAGCCGATTGGTTTAGCTGGGGTAGGTTGCGCCTTCGCTTTATTGAGAAAAGGGGCGAGTGAGTGAGGGAGAATTGTGAATGAGAGCATGGGAACCAGTCTTCCTGAAAGAACTTGCGCTGAGCTTAATTTTGTATTATAATTATCAATGCTTTAATATCAATGTTGCACTTTGTAAAGGTGGGGGTCATTTAAATTACTTGATATATTGCTGGGTAGCTTAACCTATAATACTTCATAGATTTATATTATGTATTATAAATCAAAACCTGCAAAGTAGCCAGTAACTACATTTTGTGGAGTAAAAATGGTACTTAAGTACAGTACTTGAGTCAATGTACTTAGTAACTTTCCACCACTTCTATATTCTGACATTTTACTAATTGCCAACATTGAAAACACTCAAAGAACATCTTGCTTGTTTTGCAGATTCATACGATATCGATGTCCTTTTCAAATATTAGGCCACTCGCCTTCAAGAATGTTTTCATAGGCAGTACTTGCTTTCAACTGTATAACAACACAATGGCAATGCATCTTTTGCCAGTAACCCCAAATGTGACATGTTGACTGTGAGTGTAAGAACTGGCAATGAAGCCAATGAGGCAAAACATGACACCTGTCACTCAGCATGTCCCAGGATCCCAGCGCTGAATGGACCTCAATCACAAAGCAGTGTGTTTAGCTCTCAATGGGTGTGACATCATATCCTGAAAATCCTCGGGAATGGCAGCCATTGGCCTGGTGGGAGGTCATAGATTGCATATAACAGGATAAGAGTGGTGTGACCACAAGTTACAGTAGCTTACATAACACAGCAAATGAAAAAGTTTTTTTTAATTTTAAATTTTACACTATTTTTCGTCAGGAATGTCTAGCTTAAGAAATTAACAAAAACAAACATGCTACATCTGTATAAGAAAACACGGATATAACAAGTATACAAGCTCGGAAACTGCATACGACAATTAGTCATCCATTTGATCGTCAGTTCAATCCAAATCTTAAACATAATAATAAAGGGCTTCCATATATTCTGAAGAGCCTGAATATGTAAGATGTTCTCTTTAATGGAAGGCTTGATAACAGGGCCGTCCCTGACAACTTGGGGCCCCAGCGACATTGTAAGATGAGACCCCCCCACCGATAGGAGTGAAACTTTTTTTTTGGAAACAAAGTACTTTGCAAATATAATTCTGTTTATTATTATTATTATTATTATTATCATCAACACAGTTACTTTTTTATACAGTAAGGTTAATGGTAAATGTGCATGTATGTCGTTCAATATGCGTTTACAGGTGAATACGTCGGCATTTCCTGGATGCAAAGTCATCGACAAGGTCATCGTATGACAGCTGCTGTGCCAACTGTGCGTTGATGCTTATGATAGCCAGGCCACTTAAGCGTTCTTGTGCCATTGACGACCGGAGGTACGTCTTCATAAGCTTCAGTTTGGAAAAGCTTCTCTCAGCAGACGCAACTGTAACAGGAAGGGTTACTATAATGCGGAGGGCAATCCAGAGATTTGGGTACTGTTCCTGTAACTCGCTTTTGTGGAGAAATGACAACATCTCCAGAGCAGTTTTTAATATAATTAATGCAAATAAACTACTTCTACTAATAATAATCATAATCAATTCAATAATATAAATACTATATTATTTTCTTATAATATAGTTGTAATATAGTCAAGACAAAAAATGCTTATTAAATGCTCAAAAACTGATATCATTGAGAACTACGCGGATAACTGCGCGGAGAACTGCGCACAAGCCGAGCTCATAAGCCGAGGCCCCCTGCGCGAGGCCCCCTGCGCAATGTGAGGCTCCATGCAGCCTGAATGATCGGCCTGTAGGGAGGGGCGGCCCTGCTTGATAACATCCGTTATAACCAATGAGTAATGCTCGGATTATGATCCTTTTTCCAAAACATTGCAATGAGACAAGCTGAGGTCCATGTGTTCACTCATGTTTACTTTATTTATGCTTATCCAGATAAACTTCTCTGTTTCATTTATTCTACTCTGTATAATTGTTCTGAAGTTATTGTAGCTAAAACGGCGATTTCTGAGAGATTTTAAATCTCAGATCTACTCAACTCAACCTGTAAGACAGGTCTCAGTGGGTCACGCGCCTCAACCCTGCATTACAATAGGCAGGAACACTGCAGTCGCCCACCAGCTGAAGAGAGTTAACTAAGTAGAGGGGCGTGCCCCCACAGCTTTGAGAACTCAGCAATCAGGTGTCCATCTTAGGTGGCTCTTTCCTGGAGCGTCAGCTTCAGCTTCAGCCAGACGAAGACTGACAAAGACATCGGAGTCCTGTCGGAGTCACGAGGGAGGCAAATCCTACTTTGATTGAGCT